GAAGTTGGCGTACTATACTCACAAGATACTCGTGAAAATCTTCCACATATAAATACACACGATACACATCGTACTTTGTATTTGTCAAAAGTCAAAAACAAGCGAACATCGGCTGTCTTTCCGATGACACACCTTGAAGAAATTTAATGTTGACTTACCGGGATAAGTAGGCAATCTCGAAGCAGGAAAGAAAGGAGAAAAAACGAGTGGGAAGAAAGCTTTCAAGGACTTGCCGCAGGATGAACAGGTCAGGTCGAGGGCATTTCCCGAAGAGGCTTTCAATTTTCAATATCTAGAGTATCGGCGAGATGTTTGATAGAGGGCCACACGAGGGGGTCCTTGCAGCATCCATTCTATTAGGCGAGCCGGTCTCGACCCTAATCTCCTCCGCCGCCGCGAGGTCGGACTACAGGAACTCTGTATTATCGTAATGGAAGGTTGTAGAGTGGCGAAGTAGGTGACGGGAAGGGGGGAAAAAAAAGAAGCAGGAGAGGCAGGCAACAGGATGTCGGTTAATGGACTTTCCACTTCGCGAACCGCTCAACTTGCAACAGTTGCTGATTCAGCGGTGAAATTATGTCAGGATCTATCACTGGTTGTCGCGATCATTCCACCGTTTCCGATTCCCAATTATTTGCGAGCTGGTCGCTTGATAGTCTGACGTCCTCTAGTAATGATTATTTGGCAAACATGTTAAAAATGTCGTCCTCTCACGATGCACACTGAATATTCACATTTCATTGATTCGCGTTAACACTTCTAATTCTTACATTACTTTTAATTGTGACATTATTAATTTGGTGTACCGTTAGTAGACTGCAAATGTTTCGGCACACTTCAGACGTTTTATATATATATATAACACTTTTGTATATTGTGCACGTGAAAATTGACAACCTAGTTAAGAGAAACTTTGTAGTGGGTCTGCTCCAAGTGATGAATATTATGATAAATAATTGAATTTGAATATTTTCCACATTCTGGTGTTTTCCGTAGATTCTTGTAACATTCTTGGAAATAGGTAAAGGTAAATTCCTTATAAGAATAATAATCCTGCAAATCCGTGGATTTGTTGCCGCATGCAATTTGTGCTGGAAACAGATGTACATTTCTGTGTGCAAGTAAAGTAACGTGAAATTACATTGATTTCATCGTAGTAGAAATTTGTTTGAAATTCTCAATGTTTGTAGAACTTTTTACATTTATAATACGATTATTGTCTCGTATTAGTTAATTGTCTTGAATTTGACATCTATAATATGCTGTTTACATTATTATATTATATTATTGTAGAATATATTAATAATATATTATTCACATGTGCATAATCATTTTAAAAAAGAAACGTTTAGGAAAGCACGAAGATATATTTTTAAAATAGACTACGGAATTGGAAACTTCCCAATGTCTGTATATACTTGCCAATAGGGAAAAGGAGCAAAAGTACGTAAATGAAGAAAGATCTGCAAAATGATGAAAATACGTCAAGCGAAGGACACTCGACCAACCACGATCGATGGTCAGGCTGATTGACAAATAGCTCTTCGTGTACGAAATCATCGTCTCGATTCTATTCTCGTATTTCAGTCCCATTCATCTATTTCTCCATCTATTTCCCGATACATCAATTTCCCGTAAAAACCTAGGAATTTGTTTCCTTGACAGAATAAACTGCGCGGGACCGATCGCTGACTATTTCACTGGCCGAGAGAAATCATCATCTTCGTGTGCGTATGTAGAGAATTAACCGCGGCATTTCTCGTGGAAAATGGAAATTTAACAAAATTAATCTAGCAGTTGTAATTCCTTCGCTGTGAATTTTACATTCTTTTTCATTAGGGAGGTTCGTTTATTCACGTTTGGTTCACGTTTCGAACTCTCAATTGAAGAACTTGCCGGGGAAAGAGCTGGCGAGTTAAAACGAAGAACTGAGTTAATTAAATTGAAAAGTTTCTTTTCCCTAGTTTCTCATTATCTAGTATTAGCCGGCAACGTCATAACGTTTCCTCGTCCCTTTTCTATGAACGAAATAAAGAAACAATGAAATTGAAGCATCAGAATTGAAGTACAGCGTTGTACACTCGTGTGTGTGTGTGTGTGTGTGTGTATGTACACTCGTAGACCGTAGACCGATAGTTCTATTTTTCAGAAAGCTGCACAATATCGTGAAAACAGATATTTCGCGGTGTATTTTTACGACTCGTAACTGACAACGAGTTTCATCTGTCAGGAACAAAGGGGGAAATACAACATTTTCCTGGCAAAAGTGATAAAAAAGAAAGAAAAAAAAAGAAGAAGAAAGAAACAAGAATTGTGGTTTTGTTTTTCAGAAGATTACTCAGCCGCGAACTCTGAAATCTATTTAACCGCGTTTCTCGGGCAATTCTTCCCTTGGAAACGGGATAATCGATCGAAGGATCGGTCACGCGGAGGCAGAGACGCCACAGGAATCGAAACGATTTCTGCTCGATCGAACAGGCACGATCGATTAAACGTGCCAATAAAGTAACGATGATTTTTCTGGCCCGGTTCAAAGGGCGGTTTTTTGGCGAAAATTGCTGGCAGCCCCCTCGGGGACGATTTAAAGCGAGTCGTGTCGAAAAAGGAAGTTTGTCCCGGAATTCGATTTCACCGGTTTCGCCTTACTCGCTCTCTCTTTCTCTCTCTCTCTTTCTCTCGTCCTTTCTCCCGTCGCCTTCTTTCACCACTTTCATCCTCTCCCCTTCATCCACACCGCCACTCTTCGAGCACGGTGTGTGTTATTTTCACAAACAACAAACGTGGCTTCGGCAGCGAAGACGAATGCCCGGAAAATGCAGGAACAGGAAATAGAAGGAGCCAAAAACAACGAGCTAAATCTCCCGCGTGATAGCTCAACCGATCGATCCAACGAGCTCTATATATATATATATATAGCTCGCTGCGCGGATGGAATATCTTTCCTCGATCTCGCTGATGATCTTTCTAATTAAAATCGTGCGATGAATCGTGAAAAATAAAGTAATTG